TTTACCGCACTCTTTCTCGCTCAGGTATTTGGCTCTGTATCTTTCACACACACACACACACACACACACACACACACACACACTCCCCTCTCTCTCTCTCTCTCTCTCTCTCTCTCTCTCTCTCTCTCTCTCTCTCTCTCTCTCGTGTGTGTGTTTGCAGAAACATTAAGTAGTGTTTCTGCAACTAGTTTAACATGCATCCAAACGTTCTTTAGTGGAAGCCTTTTACACTCAGTAAGTATAATAATGGCTTCACTGTGATAACCGATACCTGATACTTAATGGTTTTCCATCAAATGCCAACATTCTAATACACACATAACCAGTCAAACTAAGTTTGTTGAGATCAATTAAGATTATACGATCTGTTCTGTGCTATGCATAGACTCACCATGACAAAGGTAAACCCAATACAATATAGTAGTTCTATACATCTTCTCCAGCAAATTGGCTAGCAGTTTCGATTCCTAGAAAGTTGGCATATGCTTCTAATATTGTTCGACGTACCAAGCCTGTTGATGATCAGATAACAGGAAGACACGTGCTCAGCTCACCCCATTCAAGCGAACAGACAGCCATGCTAACGTGCGTGAGAATAATATGAATAATATAATCCATACTTTTTAATAAACAACGATGATAAAATAGAACGTGGCGGCAGAGTGTTCGGGGTGTGGACTTCAAATTAGAGTCCCGTTTCCTCTCTCCGTTTTATGATCGTGCTATTGTAACAGTTCAACGCCATACGATGAGAATGAGAGAAGACTTTTTAGCCGTCCCGAAGCTGGGTTTAGCACGCAGCCCATGCATAGTGAAACGGCTGCACGTAACTAATTACTTTTACTGTAGTTTGCTTTCGGAACCCTGGCGTTTCATATGCATCACAACCGTTTAATATAGCGGAAACAAGTAACGGTCCAAAATATGGCGTTATGTTCTCTCAATGAAAATATTTTCAGTGATACAAGTTCAGTGTAGTCTATGTAATTTACCCCCCCCCCTCCCGACACTCACACACACACACACACACACACACACACACACACACACAACCCCAATAAACAAATAACACCCCCAAAAATATATAATATAGATCTAGTGAAGAGATAAACAAAGTTCATTTGTTTTTGTAACATGTTTACTCCCTGCCGCCGGCGTCTGTGACATAGTGGTTAGGTGCTTCGCCAACACATGCAGGAGAGTGCGATTTCCGTGTGCAGAGAAATGTTATCGAATATCTCTGTCTTCCCTTCCTCCTGGGACGTTGTATACCTCGCAGCCTGGGTTGGTACTGACAGGCTGGGTCTCGCAGCCCGCCTCCTAGCTATGATCTAAATAGTGTCTATGGAAGCGTAAAAATTCTACAATTACATAATATTTTATTCACGGGGCTGCTCAGTCCGTCCCACTGAATAAGAATAGAAAACAATGTGTTCACACTTATGCTAATACCTCACCGTACATCCCCCTCCCTCCTAGACGCATAGGCCTATACATTGTGCCCCAGAATGCACACTCACAAACACACACACACACACACACACACACAAACACACACACACACACACACACACACACACAAACTTATATGTGCAAAACAAATTAAGCAAATTTCTGCTATCCTTCTAATGATGAAAAAAGTAGCCCACAGGGACATCGCAAAACATAGACAGAAACAACAACATCAAAGGACAAAAGTAGAACAAGCAGGTGGTATTCTCCAACTACCAGAGTTCTGAAAATAGCTTAAGTCTTTTCAGAGCAAAGCAACACTAATTACAAGGGCATGCCCCACGGAACAGATTTGTTTATGTGTGCAGCGGAAACTGTTGCACATAATTATATTCTAAGGACCACAGACCTCAGACATTTGTCTACCTGTGCGGGAACATAATTCATGACGCACGTACACAAGCTGGGTTCATGCTATCGAACATATTAGGTCTATACCAGCATGCTTGAGCCTGTAATTATGGGGCTGATTGCGT